GATTTGATCATGGATGAATCTGGATTTTATAAATATCCCTTAACTCTTAAGGAATTCATATGGATTAGCACAATTTGTGAGTTAGACATATCTGTTTATCTCACCGTGCAAGTTATGGTTTTGAAATTAATTGATTTTTCATTTTGATGAATTTCATATATATATATATATATATATATTGGGAGGCAACTAAATGAAGAGTCTGGATCTTTCACTCAGAGCAACCGGTGTTACAGAATCGAAGCGTGCCTGTGGTGATGAAGATGACTTATACCCATCAGAATTAATTTGCATATAACTTGATTCTTCAGCCATGTCACCTGAATACGGGATACTATTTTCTTGGTTTTGATGAGTTTCATAAACCATAAATCACATCTCCGAGTTTCCTTCATGGCCACAGAAAATCTCAGCTTCAGCAGGTTCTTCTCCGATCACCATTTATTTTATTTCTATTCTGATTACTGCTTATGCTTTAGCTCCGATTCATCTGGATTATGATCAATCATGGCTAGGTAATTATTATGTTTAGGGCCACAATAATCTGAGTGAGAAACCCAACACCACAGATATTCGGAAGGATAAGGTTGGCATTTATTTGGAGGAAATTAGATCAAACATGTCATCTTTATGGAGGGCAATACCCCTTCGCATCATTATCACGCGTAAGATTTAGAGCTTCTAAATGGTTGAATTATCACGTCTTTTTTTTTTTGGTTAATATAATCTTTAGTCCGTCAATTTGTTTTTATTTTGGTTTTTATTACTCAAGTTTTAAACTATAGATTTTGGTCTTCAAAAGAAAAAATGGTTCAAGTTTTTGTTGAATCATGAGGATTAATGTTTTAAATGGAAAAAAAAAAAAACTTGAGGAACCAAAACCAAAATGAAAGGCAAATTTGAGGGACCAAAAATTGTATTAACTCTTTTTTTTGGCATTTTAGAAAAATATTTAAAATGATTGGAGTTCATAAGATTAATTTTATTCTACATTATACTCTTTTAAACAAATCATACATTCCTGCCTATGTTGTAGTCCTCCTTCTTGCCGGGGTACTGATAGCAATGGCTTTACGTCATGAACGGAACCTACTCATTATCATCGAAAGCCTGCTGGGTACGTAAGATCTACGTACAGTACTTTAATTTAAAGTAATGATAAAGTTCAACGAAGATGATTAAGTTATAAGATTTAAGCCATTAAAAGCAAATTCGCTTAAACTTTTCAAGCAGTTTTTTGTTGTAGCAACAATTGTGACTGATTATCTTTTATAAATACCTTCTGTAGCCGCGCTCGCTGGCTTATTATTACTTGCGATATTTTTACTCCGCATGAGATCTAAAGAGTTTCTGTCATTTACGATGGAAAAGTTTCTGAATGACTTGGAAGAGAGAGCCCAACAAGGCTCACATCAGATCACCTAATGCGTGCAACAAACAACTACTCCACCATGTTGGGATCAGGAGGTTTTGGATCAGTTTATAAAGGAACGTTCAGTGATGGAACTGTTGTGGCCGTGAAACTTCTTCGTGGTGGGATTTCTGACAACAGAATGGAGGAACAATTCATGGCGGAAGTTGGCACAATTGGAAGAGTCCATCATTTAAATCTGGTTCGCCTCATTGGATTCTGCATTGAAAGGAATATGACAGCTTTAGTTTATGAGTACATGAACAATGGGTCTCTCGACAAGTATCTGTTCGGCGAAGATAAGAGCTTAGGATTTGAGAAGCTTCATGAGATTGCAGTTGGAACAGCCAAAGCGATTGCTTATTTGCATGAAGAATGCCAAGAGAGAATCATCCACTACGACATAAAACCAGAAAACATCCTTTTGGACCAAAATTTGCTTCCTAAAGTTGCTGATTTTGGTTTGGCCAAGCTTTGTAACAGGGAAAAGTCTTATGTCACAATGACAGGTCTAAGAGGGACGCCAGGTTATGCTGCACCAGAACTTTGGATGCCTTTTCGTGTAACTCACAAGTGCGATGTTTTCAGCTTTGGGATGTTGTTACTTGAAATCATAGGAAGAAGAAGAAACCTTGACGTGAACCTCTCAGAAACTCAAGAGTGGTTTCCAAAATGGGTTTGGAGAAAGTTTGAGAGTGCAAATCTACAAGAGTTGATAACATATTGTGGTATTATTGAAGACAAAGACAAGGAGATAGTGGAAAGAATGGCCAGGATAGCTCTGTGGTGTGTTCAATATAAACCCGAATCGAGACCCAAAATGAGTGATGTGGTGAAAATGTTGGAAGGCTCCATGGATGTTCCAGACCTCTCATACCCATTTCAATATTTGATGGATGAAGAAGCTCAAGTAGATAGTAGTATTGATGGCGGCTCATCTACTCTTGAGGGAACTGAATCTTCCATTGTGTTTTCTCCTCCTGTGTTGGAGATCCAAATAGATTCGAGCCAAAATTAACAAAAAACCATTTTCATTATCCCTTCATTAGATGGCATCCTCCCATGGTTTAAGTTTATAGAGGCTCTGCATTATCCTTTTTGGCCATGGTTCTGCATTATCTTATTGATCGATATCTAGTGGTTTGATTATACGGCATGTATTTTCTCTCGTGGGTGACATTGCATTTTAATTTTTAATCTCGGTTGTTGTTCAACTTTTGAATACGGTAACACAAAATTATCAATGAACTTGGCACATGCAGTGAAACAATTAGTGCAATTGTAGAAGAAATAAAAAATGACCCACAGAAGAAAGGCAAGAAAATTTGTTCACGGGGCTCAAAGTTGAATTATAAGCATTGATCATAACATAGAAATTCATTCAAAGCCTATGACTTGTCTTATGATCCGCAGATCAGAGGAGATATTTGAAGAAATGCACGACAACAACTAAGCAAAAATGTAAAAGGAATTATTATTAAAAAGACAAATAAAGAAATGAAATGAAATGAAAGGTAAAATTAGAGGAAAAATCCCTCCACGCAATCTCACATAAGCAATTTAATTATTTAAAAAATCTCATAACAAGTAAGCAGTACGTAATGATAAGATCCTATATAAGAAATGGCAACTGGTGCATGTATGTTGCTCACTTATTGTCGGACTTTCTATTGATTAGATAGCATATATAGGAGTGTACAGTAATTTTTTCAAAAGTTATTAGAAAATTTCCGGCCGATTTCTCGATTGATTTGCTGAATCGGATTTTGCCTCTTCACGCTATCATTATTTGAGCAAAACGAAAAATTATGAAAGTATAATAATATGACAACAACAAAAATTAAAAAAAGATAATAATCACTAGATCAAATTTTAATTTCAAACTCCAGGAATCTCAGTTCGCAACTGTACTGTGTCCCATTAAGTATAATTATTTTTTAAAGCTTTTCATGGGATTACTACAATTTTTTGACTCCTCAACTTTGTCCTAATTTTGGTTTTGGTCCCTCAATTGTTTCAAACTATAAATTTTGGTTCCCTAAATTTCTTTTCATTTAAAATATTAGTTTCTATAGCTCAACAAAAAATTAGACCATTTTGCTCCTTACGAGATTAAAACCTATGGCTTGAAATTTGAGGAACCAAAACAAGAAACTTAAAAGACCAAAGATTACATTAACTCTTTTTTGTGCCTAAATTATAGGTCTGGTTTAAAGATAGTTGTTTTTTATTTTCTAATTCATCTTTGCCTACGGTTAAATACTATGAGTAAATGAAATTTAAATTTATTTTCACATATTTTTTGAATATATGCAAATAATATTATTGCAGAGAACTTCTCCTTATCATGAGATTAAAAAATCGCCTGCTGCAATTCGTTTAATTTTAATAATCACTGGCCTGGCTTACGTTAAGAGTTGACTTTATACACGCATATGTGTGTATTTATATCCTCATAACATAACGTGTAAGATGAAAGCTCACTAACATGTAAAATCATATCGTTATTTTCTTTAAATAATAACTATATATAGTTCTGAGTCTGACGATAGGGATTAAAATAAAATATTTAGCCAGCATAGTTTAATTTCTTGATCGAAATTGTACGTATCATTTATTATTGTAGAAGAAATTTTTAAGATTCTAATGGCGAATCTTATTGACCAAATTTTTTGCTATGTTGCTTACCCAGTTAAACAACAAACTATAGGGAAAAAAATGAAAATGTAAAGCGATAATACGGCTACACGCTTTTTAAGCATTGAAGGATTATATTAAAAACATTGACAATGACACTAATAAAACAATACTATTCAATCTAATGCAATTTTTAAACTACTAATTATTAAGAAATAATAAGTCATTTTCATTAAATTAGATAATAAAAACTATAATTTAACCTTATAGCATATTTTTACATATGAAATGCATTATATTAGAATTCGAATGTTGGGTTTTGGAAAATAGAAGGATCCATATTTACCAGTGATGGGAGAATCTGACAGTGAATAACTGAAAAATTCATGTATGCCTTTCGAAATATGATCTTTCAAAATTGAACTATTTCGATTTGATCATATATGTAAGTATATGTTTACCCGAATATTTCTTGATGCTATATATTATTCATTTAAAATATGCATAACGAATGTAGATAATTAACTGGGCCGTCTTGAAGTTAATTTAATTATTAGGAATCTTACTGTCGATATAATAATATCACATCACATTCCAAGTAGTTACACTTACAAATCTGAATACACACACGTCATGTCGTAATTCGTTGACATAATTATATATTCTATCGATTTCATGTTGTATGCACCATTCATATTTATTAATACGATTTGAAAGTTGATGACATTGAAGCAGAAATATTTTAAGAAATAAGGAATACAAATGTTGAAAAATCAAAGGATAAGTTAATGTGTACAGCCTGAAAATGACTGGTTATAAAAAATTTCCTTTAAGGAATAATTCAAACTTTGACTTGTACCAGGATGCAATGAACAGAAATTTCTCATCAGTCTAAAACATTACATGTTTTGTGCTAAGAGTCCATGTATGCTTTGATTATTGGCATATCAATATTTCTGAATTGTTTCCTTCTGCTCTACATGTATTGCTGCTTCTGTTATATCTTCTGAGGTAGGGTTTAGAATTACTATACTGTGATTTGCTTCTTGTTTTAGTGTTTCTCAGATACTTTTGTTAGCTTTGGCTTTTTGTTGCTTTCGTTCCCAAGATTTTTCCTACGTGAAAAGAAATTAAATTCTTTGGATTCAACTCTAGATTTCATCATGGATGAATCTGGATCTTATAAATATCCCTTAACTTCAAGGAATTCATAGATAAGTTTCATTTGATTCAGGCAGCATATCTATTTATCCCACCATGTACAATATGGTTTTGATGAAATTAATTGGTTTTTCATTTTGATGAAGTTCATACACAGTGTGGCAACCGAATGAAGAATCTCGATCTTTCACTCAGGAATGGGAGTCGCAAAATCGTAGGATGCCGGTGGTGATGAAGATGACTTGCATGCATCAAAATTAATTTGCATATAATAAAATTGCTCAGCCATGTCACCTGATTCTAGGACAAAACTGATCACTAGCTTGACCACAAGTAAGATTATTCAGAGTTTTTTCTGCTCCTGAGATTTGCCATTAGTTCCTCCTCCCCATGCATTTTCTAATGATATGTTGATAGAAGCTGTACTTATTCCAAACCTAGATTCTAGGCACTCAATCCAATTGTGCTCATCGACAAAGCGATGTTTTGCACGGAAGGAGGCATCTCAACTGATATGCAAGTATTAGAGAGAATTATGAGACTGAATGGATCACTTCACTTATCATCTGATTAGTGCATAGTTTTATGATATCGATTAAATGAAGAACAACAAAATTATAGGAAGCCATATATAGCAATTTGACTTTTCATGTGTTGTCTAGTTTTTCTGGTTGCAAGAATTTTGACTAAATCATTTATCCCTATCGTATGTAGGTGTGCTTCCGTTCATGATAGTGATGATCGTATATGTCATCTATTGCAAAATATGTATTTACCAAAGGCGCAAACCAGCAAAAGTGACAGAACTGGGAAGTGGGAAGAACTCAGACTCAGAGTTTCTGACATATAGAATGGATAAGTTTCTAAATGATATAGAATCAGAAAAGCCAATCAGATTCACATCACATCAACTAATGCGTGCAACAAACAACTACTCCACCATGTTGGGATCAGGAGGTTTTGGATCAGTTTATAAAGGAACATTTAGTGATGGAACTGTTGTCGCAGTGAAAGTTCTACGTAGTGGCATTTCTGACCAGAGAATAGAGGATCAGTTCATGGCTGAAGTTGGCACAATCGGAAAAGTTCATCATTTCAATCTGGTTCGCCTCATTGGATTCTGCATTGAAAAGGATATGACAGCTTTAGTTTATGAGTACATGAGCAATGGTTCTCTTGACAAATATCTGTTTAATGAAGAAAAGGCCTTAGGATTTGAGAAGCTTCATGAGATTGCAGTTGGAACAGCCAAGGCGATTTCTTACTTGCATGAAGAATGCCAAGAAAGGATCATCCACTATGATATAAAACCAGAAAATATCCTTTTAGACGATAATTTGTGTCCTAAAGTTGCTGATTTTGGTTTAGCCAAGCTTTGTAACAGGGAAAAGTCTTATGTCACAATGACAGGTCTGAGAGGGACGCCAGGATATGCTGCACCAGAACTTTGGATGCCTTTTCACGTAACTCACAAGTGCGATGTTTTTAGCTTTGGAATGTTGTTATTTGAGATCATGGGAAGAAGAAGAAACTTTGATGTGAACCTCACAGAAACTCAGGAATGGTTTCCAAGATGTGTTTGGAAAAAGTTTGAGAGCGAAAATCTGCAAGAGTTGATAAGCGATTGTGGTATTACAGGTAAAAATGGGGATGTAGCAGAAAGAATGGCGAGGATAGCATTTTGGTGTGTTCAGTACAGACCAGAATTGAGACCCACAATGAGTGTTGTGGTGAAAATGTTGGAAGGGTCCATGGATATCCCAAAACCTACGAACCCATTTCAACACTTGATGGAAGAAGACCTTCCAATAATCAAAGAAGCACAAAAGGATGATGTTAGCATTGATGTTATCTCATCTCTCGAGGTAACAAAATCTTCCATTGTATCATCTCTTGAGAGATCGATATAGATTTCCATCCAAAATCATAAAGTTGAACTCCTGTTGATATATGGCTAGTGATCTCATTCTGTTAGACGTAAGCCCACATTAAGACTAGCAAATTTGTGGTGGAATTGAATAAAGAGGAGGTTAAGGCATATGTAGAGGCTGTCAGCAAAGGAAGGGAAAGGCAAAGTCGTTAATTGTGTCTGTCTATGTTATATAATCCGAAACTGGTTATCAGTATACTTAAGCTGTGTATTCACCAACTGGGACATATGTATATATATTATACGATTACATTGTTCGTGGTGTTATGGTTATAGAGTGCTATTCTCATGCCGCAAGGGGAAATCGTCCGGCCAACTTTTTTTTATGTGTAAGAATGTTCTTTATTACATTGTTGGCTGTCGACAACGGCGTAGGCTTATACTTCTTTGGATTGGCCATTTTTCAATTAACTTATAAAACTCAATTAATAGTCTTGTGAATGAAACGGGGTAATTGAATACTTCCTCTGGTCCAAATTAATTATATGAAAAAGTTTTAAAACCCTATTTTTTTGGGGACAAGATTAAAACCGTATTTGGTTTCAAATATAAAACAAAGATGTGTATTGCAGTATGTCGAATGACTTCTGGATCCTGTCTGATTTCTTTTTCTGGTTTAGGGGGCTAAAAAAGATGTATTATATATGTTGCGGACTCTGGACCTCGCTTTCTCATAGTTTGGTTTGTCGTATTTGAATTTATTTAGCGGCCTGAGACAGCTCCACGTTCTGAACCACTTAAGATGCAAACATAAGGAGTGGAGGGGAAAAATTTTTATGAGCTTAATTTAAAAAATTGGAGAAGTGAGATTATAAAATTTTGATAAAAAGAAGATATAAGATAAAAGAGTAAGTAAGAAAAATCAATTAAAAGTTTTCAACCCAATTTCTTAAACCTCTTAAGTTGAGTTCATTTAAAATTTTTTTTATCAATCTCCTGCGCGGTGATTGTATGGCTTAGAATAGGTTGTTGCATTTGGGTATTGCATCTTAATGGGCCTAGAAAGCCCAAAATTGAAAGTCCTCAGCAAACAAATATAAAAGGCGAAACCAAAAGCAACACCTATAAAATTAGGTTTAATGAAAGGAACTAATGTCTTACAATCTAGCAAACCAATATTTGGATTCCCAATGAGAAAGGTGCCAAAAAATCAAGGTACTAAAAACCGGATTGGTCACTGAACTGGTTGAGACAGTGGGTTAAGAGTTAGTGGTTCAGACCGGAGTCAACCCGGAGTCAGACCGGTAATAACTAAAAAATAGTGACAATAGTGTATGAATTATTAATAAATTAAGTTATAAATAATTATTAGATATATTGATAAATGATATCCGTATATACTAGACCGAAGTCCTTTTAATGATTAATTGTGGCTAATTATGTTTAATTAAATTATACTTTATTTTATTATCTATTTTATATTTGTGAGAATTAGTCAGTTAAATAAATATTATAAATTTACTATTTAAGATTTTTGCACATATGTTAAATATTATTTTATTTTGTGCAAATCTTTAAATTTTAATTGAAGATTAATGATGAAAATTAATTGGATTTAGGTGAATTAATTTTTATTCTCTCAATTTTTTTTCTTTAGGTGTATTAATATAAATAAGAATTAGGAAGTTTAAGGATAGTTTTGTCATTTTAATTTTAAGATTAGGTTTTGGGGATGTGGTGGGGCCAACACATTAGATTAGAGGGGGAGGAAAGGAAGTATGAAGCGATGACTAGGAAGGAGAGAGCCAACTCCGTAGTTACTGAAGGAAAAAAAGTGAAAAGGACGAAGAGGAAGCAGAGTGTGAAGCCAGGATGAGATCGGAGAAGCACGCTGTCTCAAACTTGCAAGCCTTTGCCGCTCCCTCATTGTTTTGGCCGTCACTTTTAATTCTCGATCTCGCTCTCCCTCATGGTCAGCTTGTCGTAGGTTCCCTGCTTGAGATTTCGTTTAAGGTTCGCTAAATCTCTTTCAAGTAATATTAGGTTGTAGCCTTCAATTTCCGCCTTAATCATGCCTTCCCTCTTCTTTTTCCTCACTACGCCATTGTCGTCTTCAAAGCTTAAAACTAATTTAGACTTTTCGGCCATTCCATTCAAAGCTTAAGCTCTGGTCTGATGAAAAATAATAACCCGTTAAACCGCCTAACCCAACGGTTTACCCGGTCTATGACCGGTTTAGTCCGGTTTGCTCCGGTTCAGGAATCCTCCGGTTTAAGTGACAGATCGGACCGGACAAGTGGCCGGTTCACCGGTTTCTGGTCTGAACCGACTAGTCCGGTCCGGTTTTTAATACCATGCAAAAAATAAAGGCTAAAGCAACACAACAGGTTGAGAACCTGGGAATTAATCCCTTAAGAGTTGATTTAGTTGGCAAAGAATCTATTCATAACTTATAAAGTCATGAGTTTGAATCTCTTGTAAGCTTTTATTGTCCAACTCGCCTAAATTTCTTTTAATAAAAGAAAAACCGAGTAGTGTCCTAGAAAACCACAGGTAATACCACTGTGTGATTGAGTTGCCATTAAGCTTCACGTTTCGTAGTGGAGGCTATTACGTACGCACTATATGTTGAAAATTTTCAAAGTTCAATATATGAACATATGATAATAACATCCTTTTTTAAGGATTAAAATCCATAGATCTACTCATGTCACGCCGTCTGACGATAAAATCTGTTGCCATAATGTCTAAAGATAACTTCTTCTTCTTTTTACCTGCTCCACGCTCACCTTTTTTGACAAGTGCACATTAACATCACAATCCACTCGAGTGAGCAAAGTAAAGTGTTTACTTCAATTCTTCAAAGGTAGAGAAAAGTAGTACAAAAGCAATCCCACCATATATCACTAAACCCACTACAAGGCAATTTTAATTGTCCAAATTAAAGTTCCGCTTTCATGGCTATAAATATTATATAGAAACACATAACCCAATACATAGCCAAAGATTACGCGGAAACAAAAACTTTTCAGAGACTTGTGTTTATAATAAGTTGACTTATTATAATACAATGAAACTCGACAGCCTGTTCCTTACTGTCTCATTCCCTCCTTCTTGAATTTTTAATCTCATTCTCTAAACCATCTTCATGGGCAGGATTCGGAGCTGTCCTTTGCTTTGTGCTTTTGAGTTTAATTTCCAACTTTAACAAACTTATTCAGATTGCTCAGATATTGCGACTTCAATATATATTTTTTGATTCAACAAATCCTGACATTTCTAATTACCTAGCAATGTTGTAAGCACTATTAATTATTAGGACCTCAAATTTTTCACAAGCGCGCACACACGCACACACACATATCACCACCTTATCACTCTCTAACATATTGCCTAAAAAGATAACAACATGAGCAAAATATACTGTATCTTTTTATTTACTAGGCTCTTGTCAGCTCCCACATTCATTAAACCAAGTTAAACAAAAACTTCTCAAAAAAGTGCCCTCTATTTCTGTAGGAAAAATTATGTTGAGTAGGTTGATATATGCCTAATTTTAATTATTTTCTTGGACATGATGCAAATCTTGTAAATTAACTTCATTTTGTTGTGGTATTCACAAGACTTTGATGAAGATAGTCGTTCGTTCAATGACAATTTTCTCTCAAAAATATTTCCATTTTCTATTCAAAATCTATAAAATTTTCGATTGATTGTCAAAAAATCAGAGACAAAAAAAATAACATTGAGAATATTAATAAAGGTTAAGGGTCAAAAATACTCATAAAAATATACCAAAAATTTACACAACACCATGAACTATCTTTGGGTTCAAGTCTACCAATCAAAATTTAAAAAGAGGTCAATAATGCCAGCGCCATCAACATCTGTTTTTTTAAGCAATGGGACCCACAATTTTTTTAATGAAAAACCAAAATACCCCCAATGAAAAAAGTTAAAGGTAAAAAATACTCATGAACTTGTACCAAAGTTCACTAAACACCATGTAATTTTTAATAAAAGTACAGAAATATCCAAATCTTGAACGGTTATTGCATTAGAGTGTGTTAGAGATTAATAATTATAATAAATTTTTATTTCCGCATCTTTATAATTAAAAAAGATTATTAATGTTTCTTAATAAATTTTTTTCTTGATCAACAATTTTTTTCTTTTTTTTTAAAAAAATTGGCCGATTTTTATAGTTATTATATTAATTGTTATGGCTCAAAATATTTTAATAGGATAAATGTTATACATAATCGTTAAATATTTTTTCTAACTTATCATATTTTATATTTTAACATCATTATTGCTCATCCCAGAGTGGTTTAATTCTAGAAAATTGTTAAATAAAGTTAACAAAATAAATATTTACATTTTAATCCTTTGATTAGTATTCATTTGATATTTTTCATATTTTTAATTCAATTTTAAAAAAATTACTTAACTCCAGAAACGAAAAATTAAACGAGGGTGCTCTAAAGGTTAATTTAAATAAAGAATATGAATCCATCTTATAAGAGGGTAGGTTTTTTTCCCTTAAAAAGGAGATGAGCCAAAAAGACCATCCGCACGTTAAAAGGAAATAGTGATTTCTTTTTTTTTACTAGGGATATTTTGGTACTTTTATTAAAAATAGTGGATTCTATTATCAATAGTGGCTTTAAATTCTCTCAAAGAATTAAATATAATAAATGTAAAAAAGAATTCAGATTAGTTGTTAAATTTGATATCATAGACTGAAGGATAAACATAACTCCATGTATTGTTGGTACAAACAACTTATTTTTTAAAGATACCTATAATGTCTATTAAAAGAAAAGATTGGGAATATAAATAGCTTATATTTAAAGAGCAATTCAATTTAAGCTTAAATTTTTTTACATGAGTTATTTTAATTATAAAAATTTATTATAATTAATAATCTCTAACACAATTTAATGCAATAGCCTTTTGACATTGAGATATTTTTATACTTTCAATAAAAAATTATATGGTATTTGGTGAACTTTCGGTAAAAGTTCATAAGTATTTTTTACTCTTAACTTTTTTTTTTGTTTTAATTGAAGGTATTTTAGTATTTTATTAAAAAATCATGGGTCCCATCGCTAAAAAAACAGATGTTAA